AGGAGGACCCAGCAGGGTAGAATGTGATCTAGTCTTCACTAGTGGGTCTAAATACCATTCCATGCCAAGTGGTCCTTGCCCTTTTCTAAGCCCTACTCTACGCTCACGTTTGCTGTTTTAGACTCCGATCTCCTTTGGGGCGGCTCCATTCTCTCAAGTCAGGCTCAGATCAAGAACTGAGAGGCGAGGAAGCATGCTAGACTGGAACCATTTCCTTCCAGCAAGGTGGTGATCTTCAGGATGATGCAGGAGACCCGGTGTCAGCTCACCACAAATTTGATTGTAGCTGAGCAGCTAACACACTCCTGAAAACCTCTGCCATCCTGCACACGAGCTCTCTCTTTAATAGCAGGGTAAAGCATTAGGACGCAGACTGCAGCCCATATGAAGTTTCCCTTCATTTTCTGAACCTCCCAAGATACAAAGGCTCATATCCCTAGCGTACATTCTCCATGTTATTAGGATAACTGCTAGTCAAGTTCAAAAGGCAGCTGGCTTCCAAGTCACCAAGCCAGAAAGAGCTATAATTTCTCTCACTGTAATTTCTCTCTATGTGGTTGACTGAGTCAACACAGACAATGTCAGCAAGCGATTTCACTCAAGGACAGCAGATACCCAGAAAGTACCACAGTCTTCGGGAGGGAGGGTCGAAATGTCTGTGGGAGCTGGCCGGGATAGATGCAGTTCTCACTAGGACATTAAACAGGCTAGAGGATCAGAGAGACAATAAATATACACAGCTTAGCTTCATCTCTTCTGAAGGATATGGAACACAGAAAGGTAATCCTGCCTCTACTGAAATCCGGGGGAGTTTTACCATTGATTTTGATGGGGATTTCACCCATCACACTTAATGAGCAACCAAACCATCACAAGACTGGGAGAGGCGACCCTGTTCATAGCAGTGATATCCCCCCTCTCTAATAGCTCCAGGGACTGTTTTATATCCTAGGGCATCAACCTATCTCAAGTTGGGACAACAGGGGCTCAAAAATGCCATCTTTGGCTCTACAAAACTATGGCTCCATGGATGAGAAAGAGCCTCTTGTAAACGGAGTCCTTTTCCAAAACTCCGGAAGGACGGTTCTCTTCCCATGGAATACAGGGGAGCTTTGGGAAGCTACCCCAAACGAGCTGGAGCCTATCCGATACTCCTCTCTCCTCCAAAGTCTTCTGTAGATCATCCTGGAATCCTCCCTTCAACTTAATGCCCAAACACTGCCTTCTGACATTTTAAAAGGGCAATAATCGAAGTTTTTTCCAGAGTAATGTCATCCTAAAACACACACAGTGCTGTTCACCCTCGGCTGACATACCCACACTAATCATCGTTCTAAGGTAGGGCCGCAGAAAGGATCATGCAAATTGCTGTTTCAGAAAAACAATCGTATCACAATCCATCATTTCAACTCTCAGCAGCTCTGCACAGCAAAACCAACACTATTTTTTCATGTGTTAGCAAAGTCAGCTGGAGTCTTGCCTTTGGCACTGAAGAGGGTAGAGACAGAAGGATCATAGCTGGAATTCCTGTTCAGATGGCCTCTGCGGAATGAGTAGCTAGAAAAAGAAATCACTCGTGAGTGAAGGAACCTAAAGGAGGGCTCAGGAAAGCAAGGACTGGAGAGCCCTGGGGGAACATAGGTGATGTAGAGCAGAAAAGGGGTAATTCAGATCATCACCACCCAGCTGACCAGGGGATGAGTCGGGAAGCATGGGACTGGACCCAGATTTGCTTCCCACCAGGATAAATCTCCACGGATCCCGGACAGAAAATGGGGCTGCTTCATCTGAAACCAGTTCAGAGTTGGATTCTCCTCTCTCTGATGCTGTAGTAATGAATTTACTTTAAAGGGGAACGGAAGTAAATGAGAACAGGGCTTGGAGACAATAGGTTACATTCTTGAACTCCTGCGTGCTTCCCTTAGATGTGTTTGCCATGAGAATTAAAGGAACAACATTGAATTTGATCTGAGCTGAAAATGAAGTTCACCGAAACCAAATCAGACATACAGGGTGAATTCCTAGCACTGTTGAGGTCAATGACAAAACTCTCCGTTACCTCAATGAACCCAAGATTTCACCCACGGTTTTTATAAAACCAACAATCATTAGAAACCTATCCAAGAATCTTGTTTTAATTTCACTGAGAACTGTACATAAAAAAACATTTGCCTACAACGATTGTAAACCGTCTTAAAAGTGCCCTCCTGCATGAAAATGTGAAACACATTGAAGCATGAAGCTGAGTTACCTGTTTTCTTGCCCAAAATGAGGGCTACATATAAAAGAGAAACACAGATGGAGTAGAGGTATTTGTAAATACATAAGACAAAGTTTGCTTAAAGCACAAATGAAGAAATTTGGGTGTTTTTTTCCACAAAGCTCACATCCATGAGGCTAGCTTTTCCAAAAAAGCCTGAGGAACGGAGGCACACAGCTAGACACATCTCCATGAGAGGAGCATATTCCTTTTTGAAAAGTCCTGGGCACGGTATTTAAAATATACAATGACATAAACATTAGCGTGTCATTTTCAGGTTGCAATTTGTTTGTGATATTATGACTCTAGTTCACTAAATGTTGTCCTGTTTATCATAAAAGAAAAAATGCTGCGATCAACCACAACTCCCACCTGCTCTGGGGAAAACCAAAGGCCACCCACCAAAAGCATGTTCACAAGGGCAGTTCTGCATGCTTCATCGTGGAAAAAACATTTTTGCAAACGGTATAATTTTGCTAAGAAGAGAACAGCTGAGCTGACACAGAGCAATCTCCAAAGCTTTGAAGTCTAGTTGGATTATTTATCCTGCTTTCTACTGTTCAGCTCCGGTTGCTGACACCCGCCCATCAGAAATGTCTCTCCATCATCCTAAGCAGCCCAATTACTGTCCTTGCTGCTGCGCTCTAGGAAGATGGGTTTTGTTCAGAGATGATTGTGTATTTTGGTGTGCTAATCCGAGACACTCAAGAAGGCAGTAAGGTGAAGTTTAGCCACCAGCCTCCTCTACATGGTTTGCCTACGGTCATAAACCACATTGTGCTAATTTTGCACAGCTGTAAAATGAGAAGTTGTAAAATGGGGGACTCTCCTCCAACTTCCCTCAGAGACATGTTACAAATACCGTTAGTGAGATATTCAGATGCTACAGTCATAAAAGCAATATACATGTACGCATATACAGAAAGGTCCAAGTATTTCTGAAAAATGAGGCTCTGCATAGGTAAAACTGGGCAACCAAAGTAAAGGGCTACTTCAGAAAATTTTGCCTAAGCAATTTCTGCTTCAAATGTTTTAAAAAGTGCCACTGGGGGAAACAATGCTGTTGAAAGGTCAGATGCAGGTGACAGAGAATGTTATTTTGATCCAATTCAACTCAACAAGGAAGAACAAAATGATAATTCAAGTGTGAACCAGGTGTATTAATATCAAAGGAACAATCAACGAAACAAAGTCAACGAACTGAAGCTGAAACGAAAATACCATTTCAGTGTTATTAATTTAATTAAATTGACAGCAAAGACTTGAAGAAAAAACAGGTATTAGTACACACAATGAGATCATCCACAGCTACATTCCTACTTTACCTTCTCTGTATGTCTGAGGTTATCTTCATACACAAACTTCATACTCTAAAGTGAAAACATTATGAAAAATAATTTCCTAGCTTATTTTAAGGTTATTTATTTGAAGCATTAGACCAAGTTCATAAGCCAGACATAAGCTCTTTGCAACGTCCAGACCCAGAAAAAGATTTGTATCTGAAACACAGGCAGTCTAGCTGTGTTCGGACCACGGGCTCCTACTCCCAACCTCTATGTCAATCAATCCGAGTCCGCCCATCAGGCCAGGCATCAAAGATCACTCGCAACCATCCTCTAAGAGACGAGGATGTCCTAGTTCATAAGGAGCTAGGTTTGAACTGAGGAGTTAGGCTGATTCCTGGCTGTGCCTAAGATCTCTTTATATCCGTGGATCGGACAACAGACACTAGTACCTGTTCTGAACCATACTCTTTTATTTCTCTGTGCCTTAACTCCCCTCCTGTGAAATGGCAGCACCTCACAGGACATGAAAGAATGCAAGATGCTCAGATATCACTTTACAACTTTATCCTTGATCCCATATGCGGCAACGGACTCCAGGACACCGTGGTACAGTTTACACGTGACCAGCCGCACTGCAACAGAGGTTTGGTTTTTTTTCTCTAGCTCAAACAAGGTTAACAGCAATGACTCACTTATGGAGTTTTAAGATCCTGGCTCTGACAAGCCAAGCATCTGTAGCCAACCCAAGGGAGGACAGATAGCCTGGAAGTCATCATGAGGCATTTTAGAGCCAGAGGGAAACACCATGAGTGTCTAATCCTGGTGCCAGCAGAACAGTCAGTCTGTCTGTCTTTTTATTTTGAGATATTTTCATTTCCCGATTTCTCTCTTCCTCCAAAAGAGGATACGAGCAGAAAAGGAACAATGTTAAAAATCCTGGTGCTAAAGCTGCATATTTAAGTGGGCACGTGCAAATCCTTAAATAAGTGGCCCAGTTTTCAAAGACACGTAGCACGCTGGCATCAAGCTTCTGGGCGTGAACCATGTGATGGACATCTATCCATACACATCATGGAGAAAGGAACCGAGCTACAGGAATGTGGAGAATTTGCTACTCGTACTGGAGCCAGAGGTCAAAGTGACACTGGTTTCAGTAGGAGCTGACTCCAGAATCCAGCCAAGTCACACAAGTAGCAAGGTAAACCCTGCCAACAGAAAAGACAAGAGTGAAATGACTGACAGCTGCAAGATGTGGAAATCCTAGGGTCTTGCTTTTCCACTCCTTTTCCCACCCTTACACAAGCTTCTCTCAGCAACCTGGACAGACATCAGAACCCCCCCACTGCTGGTACCCGGTCCAGAATATGACATGACTTATACAGCCCACCGTTTCTGTACTTATCTGAGACAGAGAAAAGTAAAGCTTTCTTGGAAGGAAAAAACAGCCAGCTTACTGATCATGGTGGTGCCTCCAGCCAGTGCAGCCTTGGTCCCTTGGAAGAAGTCATCAGCAGATGTCATCCCCTGCTCCGGCATCTGGAAGCGGGTGTGAACGTCAATCCCTCCAGGAATCACCATCCTGCCATGGGCTTCAATAGTTTTCACTCCCCCGGGCACAATCAAATTCTCTCCTATTTGCCTGGGTAAACAGGTTTCAAACAGCAAGTCAGACACAAACAAGGCGAACAGCCTGTAAACATACACCCTTGTGCTACTTAACCTGCCTAGTGTTTCCTTTTTCCATACAAAGCCACGCGCAGGATCAGCACACACAGTTGATAATATTTTATTCTTCCTCTTGAAGCAGTTGCATAATTGAGAGCAAAAAGTGTGCAATTACTTCAGGACCTCTGGGCAATGTTAGACTTAACAGGAAGGAAAAGAAGGAGTCACACTGGCAGGCAGCTGGAGAAGGGACCATGCAGATAATCAGATCATCGCTGCACCAAACACAGCAAGAGCCTTTCAAGCAGCTTTACTGGGACTGGACTGGGGTCGTCGAGTGGCAGTTCAACACTAGATTCTAGCTAGCTAACAGCAATTTAGATGTTAGTATTGTTCTGGGAGCACTGGAAGAATTTTTGCCTCTACATTGTCTACAGGCCCTGCACAAATATAAACCCATGCAGACACCAGTTACCAAATTCCTGATGAGGCTCTCAAAGGTCTCTCCAGTCTAGCCCTTCACAGATGTATTTTAAAAAGTGCAATAGTGGTAGATGACACATTGCAATTAATTAGCCGTCTCTGGCTGGCTCCTTTAACTTTTAACCTTGATTAACAAAGCACATGTGCTGACCATTTAGCCAGAACAGGAAAATTCCTTGTTTGTAATCTCTGGCTCATCCATTTTTTCCTAAGAGTAATTTTCCAAAAAAATCTGCAATACATTTAACGTGCCAGAAAGGCATGTTTCAGGACTGAAAACACAGGAGCGTGCTGGAAAGAGGTCTGAACCTCAATCCTTAAACTACAGGATCATTTTTAACTTCAAGGGGGTTTGGACTGATCCTTGCATCACAGAATCACAGAAGACAGCACTGCAAGAGACCTCAAGAGGTCCCCTAAGTCCAGCCTCCTACCTTAAACCAGAATTAACTGTATTAGCACCCTGAACTCCGGGTTCAAAATATCTTAAGTCATAGCTCAGGAAAATCTTACAACACAGGTAACTTCAAACATATGTGTCATCTCAGCGTGAGGCTATTCACATGGCTAAAATTAAGCACATCTAAGTACCTCCCTTGACCCATGCTTTAGTAAGCGGGGTTTTGGCCCATTTGCTTATTTAATTCAACATCTTGTTTTTAAAGTTCCTCCATCAAACACCAGCATATGCGTGAATACTCATTTTTCATTGCAGTTTAATATAGCTCACTGCGACTAAGCTATTCCTTGCTAATCTGCAGTGTATTTCTGCACATTTCCAGTCACAACACGGTATCAGGCTTCACTTACTTTATCAACCCATCTTCCATGTAAATGTCTGCATAAAAAGACTGGTCGTCGTTAACTATTTTACCACCTTTGATCAAAAGACGATCACTCTGCAACACAGAAGCACACAACAATACATAATTATTCTGGGAGAAAGCTGACAGTCTGCAGTGTCACTTCAGAGATAAGAGTAGAGACGGAAACAACCTCTGCATTATTCAAAAGTGCACGTCAAAACACCAGTCAGTTGCTGCACTTTCAACTGGAAAGATAAAATACTTTATTTCATCTGCAAGTCCTTTCATCACACTAATGATCCAAAAAAATCAGAACTGAACAGGAGTTGGGTTCTAGCGGGCTCGTCTACTTGGCAGCTTCACTCATACCTGCCGCTTGCCATCACCACCTACAGCAAAAGCATTAAATAATGCTTCGAGGGATGTGTAATAGCCATACATCTATTTTTTCTGCCTTGGTCGTATGCAAAATTTCCTATATGCACCCACACACTGGAGTCACCACTTGGCTCACTAGGCGAGTCAACTGCTGTCAGGGAAATGGCCCAAAAGCCTGTTGCCACGGGTTACACCACACAAACAAACTCATTTTGTCCAACTTGGTGATGTTTTGATGCAGTGGATACTTTTTACTGCCTTTCCAGATCACTACTGCACCATCAGATGGAAATAAGCACATACTAGCAAATTAAGTTTAAGAGAAGGATTTAAAAAACGGTTATTAAAATTTCCTCAAATTAGAAGACAGTTTGGCAGGAACAGAAAGGTAATTATAAGGCGGCAGCTATCAGGCGACACGCTTCTATCGCAGCCCAGGTTACACCTCGCTTTTGTGAGGCTTTAGGTCAAAACCAAAATCATCTTTTTTTTGCAGCAGCAGCAGCAGTCATAAACAAGAGCGAAACACACTCTGCTGAACTCTGGGTGGGGAGGGAAGTTAAAATGACTGCTGTTCCTCTGGTTCCTTCACTCCCTACGTTACAGACGCAGATATTTAAAGCAAAGCACACACGCGTCCCCCGGCGTTCAGTTTAAACTACACCTTGGCCCTCGTATCTGCACTTGTACTTACTCTGATTCTCTTTCTTCCCCCCAAAAACGTCTTTGTAAGAGAACAAAGCTGTACCAGAGCAGCACAGCCAAAGACTGGTGAAACCAAAAGCTGACTTCAAGAAGGGTCAGAAAGCAGGACTTCAACTTGGTGGTGCCTTGAACTCATAGCAAATGCGTGTAAGACAGTGACAGTGGTGCTCAGCGCCCTTATTTCGAGCTGGGGCTCCGCTGGTCAAACAGAAGAAAAGAATTGGGCATTTTCCCAAAGAGCTTATAATAAAACTGAGGAGTTGGAGCACCCGATTCTCAGCTGACACAAGCTGACATGGCTCTTTTAACGCCAAAAGGGCTGCAGGAATTGCATCAGCTACCGATTTATATCATTATACCCATCTTTTACATAACTGCTAAACATCTATGAGATGTTGAGGGCCTCTCCTTCCCCCTCCTTTTTTTCCTTCTCCTTCCTCCTACTGCTGCAATGGAGAGTTTCCCTGAATAACGCCACCAATTCGAAAAACAAAGAAAGAAAACCCCAAGATTTAAATTTAGGATCTGCTGTGAATGCCAATAAGCCTGAATGAATTAACTTGGGGCGTGAAAAACCCACTTGTCTTTCAATGCCAGCCTCTACAGCAAACTGTCCTACATGTTTACCATTTCCAGAAACACTGCGGTATTTATGCCCACCTCTAGCGCTGACTCCTTGTGCTATTAAAAAGGCCGACTACTATTGAAATCGGTTAGTTTGGCCATCGATGTCACCGACAGCCCAAGTCCTAATGCACTGGGCATCAGTTAGGAAAAAAGAAAAAAAAAAAAAACAAACTATATATATAGTGACCGACAAAAATGCAGCCTGGACCATTTTAATGATGCTCTGAGTGCTTCTGCTAGTAAACAGGTCTCCTGCTGCGGCTGTACGGTAGGCTCTGAAATCAGTGCGAATCCTTCTGCTCGTTTCAACCACCTTGGAGACAAAAGCCCAGGCAGTTTGCAAACCGTGTGAGGGCCTGCCACTACATCTGTACGTATCGACCCTACCGATGCAGCCAAAACAGGACAGCTAAAGATTGATTATCCTTCTTCTTCAAGCATTACTCGTGATAGGTCAGTTCCAGGTTTATACAACAGCAAATAAGACCAGAATCTGATTTTTTTCTACCTCCCATCTTTACATGAGAATTGCATCGGGTGCATGCAACACAAATCAGAGCACTCACTCATAAGAAAAATGCGTCATACTACTTTTGGCCCATGACGGTGATTCAGCAGCAATGTTCATCGTTATTTAAACGCAGGCATCTTTTTTAACTCTCGACTCCTGGACTCTTGCAGGGAAACCACTCCCCTCCCCAAAAAAAGAGGATGCAGTATTTATCACGTAACAATTCTGTGCATCCCCTGCCATTTCCTAGACACCACTTAAAACGCAACTGCAGAGCCCGGCGGCTCCGGCACAATGTCACACGTCAAAGCCC